CGGGGCCGGGGGCCCGGGGACCCCGGGCCACGGAGAGCGGGAAGAGGATGGACTGCCCGGCCCTCCCCCCCGGATGGAAGAAGGAGGAAGTGATCCGAAAATCTGGGCTCAGTGCCGGCAAGAGCGATGTCTACTACTTCAGGTACCGCCCCTGGGTGGGGGTGGGGGGCGCGGGGTCAGGTCGAGGTCAAGGGTCAGGGGCTGCGGGGCTGGGGGTGGCTGGACGGGGCCGGGGCCCCCGGGGGGTGTGGCCCGAGCTGGGGAGTGACATTTGGCCCCTGAGCAGTGACAAGCACAGTGAGGGTCCTGAGGAAGTGTCTTCTGGCGAAGCTGTCAAAGGCGGGTTCCTGGGGCCAGTGAAGGGTTAAAAGAAGGTGTAATTCATCGAAACCATAAAACCCAGTCGGTGCTGGCTCCTGTCCCAGCTTGTCCCAGATTCATCATCCTCAGTGTTTAATCATACACATGGAGGGGAATTAGCTAGCTGCAGTAACAAGGTTGCCTTTAACTTGGGGAAGAGTTGGGGAAGTTTCTGGTGATGCAGTGGCTTGGAATGCCTGGAGTTGTCAGAACTCCCTAGGTGAGATTTGAAACACTGTACAAAATGGTTACAGGCCTTTTATGCCTCACCTCCCTGCTACAATGTATGTTGTGCTTAAGTGAAGGGGTGGGTAAGAGTCCTTGCCATTGTCTTCTGGCAGTACATTGCAACTTGTGATGCTATTTCTTAGTGTCTTATTCAGAGTCACTAGGAATGGCCTGTCCGCCTCTGGATCTTAGGAGCAGAAATTCTTCATATCGGTGTTTGAGGACATTGTTCTCTGTCTTTTGTCCCCCTCCCTCCCTCTTAGCTGCTTCTGAGTTTTCTATCTTTGCATACTTGTAGTTTTGAGTGCTCCACTGACAAAGGAATTATTTACAGTGCTTCTCCCCCATTTAGCCCATTTATAACCTCCCCCAGAGACATTTGGCAATATCTGGGGACATTTTTAGCTGTCACACCTGGGAGGGAGTAACTGTCATCTGGTGGGTGAAGGTTAGGGATGTGGCTGCGTTTCCTATAATGCACCAGCCAAGTCGCTGCAACAAAATTTTATCAGGCCCAAATTGTCCCTCGTGTCGAGATTGATCCACTTGGATCATCCTTACTGTGATCTGTCCGTCGTGTGGTGGTCATATGTCTATGTTTTTAGTGTGCTTGAGCTATGAAGCTCAGAAAAGGGTCTGTGACTATTAGATCTTATAAACAAATTGATGAAGTTTTCTTGTAAGCCATCCACCTGTAGAAGGAAATAGAAACCTACTAGGAGCTGTAGAGGGTTTATCTGTGCCCTGACTAAAGTATTTCTCAAGCCGTGTGTTTGGGATCATAGCTGGTTATTAACCATTTGGGTAGGAGGCTTTGATCCGTGTTAAGGAGTTAATTTCTTGTTTCATCAAGATTAAGATAGTGCCCCTGAAAAAAACTATGTGAACACTTAAAATATTAAAATTAACAACTGTTCTAAAAAATGAAAATACTAAGTAATGACATACTTGTATTTGAGTACACACACACACACACTGAAGTCATCACTACTGGTGATAATGACACGTATGGCCATATCCCCAGTGGTTTTGCAAATATATACATAAGTTGTTGAAGTAAATTTCTTCAGTTTTGTCAAATTAAAAAGAAATGAAAGTGGTGCTACATTAAAGTGATTTTCCCCCCTTGAACTGAGGTTCATTCTGAAGTTGCAAATGATAAAGTGAAAAATTTATCTGAAACATACAAACTTGATTAGGGAACGCTGGGGCCTAGTTGAGAAGAGTTGTGCTGTCAGCCCAGAGGCTCACAGTTCGATTCCACCAGCTCCTCCTCTGGAGAAGGATGGGCATTCTCCTCCCATGTGATTTACAGCCTCGGGGAAAGTCATTGGAGGATCAGTGCTGAGTCATTTCTGACTTGACAGCACAACACAAACAACTTTATTCCCTTGCTTTCTGTTCCCCGTCATTTTATATTTCATTTACTTCAGTAATAATGCCAAGAACTTTATTGTGGAAAAATGGCTGTTCTTTTCAAGTCCCTTTATTTCCTTTAATGCTGTTTACAATGTTTTCACGTTTGTGTATTCTTTCATTAACAGATCATTCATTGTTCTCTTTTCTGAGCAGGCAGTGGGCTGTGAACTGTGGCTGATGTCTTGTAACAGGCAATTATATTTGACAAGACTATTTTGTGTCTGAACCCCAGGAGAATAGGGTACTAGGCTGGTCTCGGTGGACCGTCTTCAGCTCTGAGTTTCACTCCCTGTGACGGTTCTCCTGGGATATAGTTTGTTTGGTTTTGTAGATGACGTGTTTGCTCAAACTAACTCGTGCTTATTGCATCGTTTTTTGGGTGGTGGTTTCCTCTTAGTAGCTGCAGAAGTTGCTTTGAAAGGTCGGATTACTGCAGCATTCATTCTGACTCCTTGTTTAGTACTTCTTAATGTGTTATAAATCTTTTGATCGGCTTTTTATATAAAATCATTGAGTATGGAGAAAGACTGATAACAGTTTAAAACAAACTTTTGAAATAGATTTCACCTTGGGGTGAATCGTAAACCAGTAGAGTGATAGTTACTTGCCCGAAGTGGTCATTTACTGAGCCAGTGCTCTCATGTTTTCTTTTTCCTTGTTTATACAAAATGGAAAAGGCACATGGGAAGGGATTAGGGATTTGTGCCCTGAGTATGATTGAGGCCCGAGCAGAGTGTTGTCCATCACTTAACTACCTGACCTGATGGTGTTTGGGCCGGTGTAAGAGTCTTGGTTTTCTTCTCCAAGGTGACGTTCTGAGGCAGGAGGACACCTGTGAGCAGTCTCTGAATTGTGCAGGTAGTAAGGCACTTGTTATTGATGTGTACAACTTGTAGTGGACCCTCTAGCGGGTTTTCAGAGGCAGTAAAAGCTCATGGGAGATGACCCATCCTTCTCCCAGAGCAGCGGGTGTGAATTTGAACCGCATACCTTTGCACTGGCGGTGCAGTTTCTTACCACTAAAGCTACCACAGCTTCCTAGTAAAAGCTAGACTGTGAGCCACAAATTTGGCATCCTGAACTCACCTAGTGTGCCTTGGAAGACAGACCTGGTGATCTGCTTCCTAAAATCTCCAGCCTAGAAAATGGAGTGTTTCGTGTTTCTCTTTTCACACGTGAGGGCGTCATGAGTCAGCAGCACGCAGCAGCAGCAGCAGATGTGTGAAGGCAGTAATGAAACCTTGCCCTTATGCGGGGGACCCAGGTTCAATTCCTGGCCGAGGCACCTCGTGCACAGTCACCACTTTTCCGTCAGTGCCAGCGGAGGCTTGTGTGTAACGTGATGTCGAACAGGTTCAGCAGAGCTTCCAGGCTAAGACACCCGAGGAGGAAAGGCCTATCTCTCAGCTTCCAGGCATGACGCTGTGAAAACCCTGTGGATCAGCAGTTGAATCACGTCTTACGAAGGGAGCTTTGGTGGCCTAGTGGTGGTAAGAAGTTGTGCTGTAATCCCAAAGGCACACAGTTCAAATCCACCAATTGCTTTGCAGGAGAAGGGTGAATCCCATTGTACATGGGGTCTCCCTGAGTCAGGGCTGATTAGATATGTTGTAATGCAGGACATGATAAGAGTAGTTACAATGACTTGTGGTTTTTGCTTTCAGTGACTTTTCTTTCCATTGTGTAGTGTCATTGTTTCACATTCTGCCTCTTTGCTGTGGAGTGACTCTCAGCTGACCCTCTGGAGATCAGACAGGAGGAGCCCCTCTTTGTCCTGTGGAGCTGCTGTGCCACCTTTTGGGTTGCAGCACCACTCCCTGCGGACTAGGCCGCCAGGTGCCCGATGGCTTACATAGTTGTGTCTCCATATACCACTCTGCCCTTAAAAAAGCCAGGGGCTCACGAAACACCTGCCAACTCTCTTAATAGGTGGCTTAAGCTTACCTTCTCCGTTGGTAATGTGAGCACCTTGCACCCAGCTGTTCACTGGGATTCTAATAAGGTGAACTCCCCGAATTAGCCCACCCCAAGGGAGATTAATTGAAACAAATCTCTGCCTGTTAACGGAGGGTGTGGTTGACATTTATTAATTGGACTGAAATTAAGCACATGGAGAAAGCCTCAGATTTTGGTAGACTGTTTTTGGCTTCTTCCTTAACTGCCGAGTTCTCAAGAGGGTTGTGGGTTAAGCAATGTAATTACACGTCTGTCAGGACCACTGATAGTTGTGGCAGTTCATGTATTATTATTCGAAGTGTGTTTTTATAAAGGGTGTGGCCTGGAAAGGTATGCAATCCAGAAGTATAGTTTGTGAGAAACTTCCTTGTCATCATTTAAACCTGTTATTTGAATGATCATTTTCTAATTGGTCTGCTTGACTGTTTCATATTAACCAGAAGATCAGCAGTTCAGATCCACTAGCTGCTCCATCGGAAAAAGACAATCTCATCCCCTGAAGATTTATAGGTCCAGAAACCAGAAGGAGTGTTGGTATGAGTCAGAATTTGACGACTGTGTGTTTGGTGGGTCACTTGACTGCTGTCCTTTCTGGTATTTGGCTTTTGTCTGTTACTGGTAGATTGATATGTTTGAAATACAGTTTGCCTCTCTCTCTCTTTCTCTCTCTCTCTCTCTCTCTCTCTGTGTGTGTGTGTGTGTGTGTGTGTGTACACCTTCAGTAGCTATCTCTCATCTTTTTCATTTTCATTAAGTCTGGCTTGGAGAAACTGGTGGCGCTGTGGTGAAGGCTGGTAACCAGACTGTCAGTTGTTTAAGTTCCCCAGCTGCTCCACTGGAGGAAGATGAGGCAGTCAGTCCACTTGTGTAAAGATTGCAGCCTCGGAAGCCCTGAGGGTAGTTCTGCTCTGTCCTACGGGGTAGCTGTGAGTCAGAGTCCCTTGACGGCAGTAATTTTGCTGTTGAAACTTGCTGGGCTCTTGATTCTTGTTTGTAACCTGTGCTGACAGTGTAAGAACCGGGGCTACCATGAAATACTCACTGGTTGGACATTGGAAACATAATGGTAACATTTTGGATTCTTAACACAATACTTATGCCTTGTCCCTGGACTATTACATGCAGTTCTGATCCCTACTGAGGGTGTGGAGCAGAGAACAGTTACAGTGATCATAGGGA